TGCTCCCCGCACCCCCCCGGCCCGTGTCCGGGCCCCGAGGGGCCGCATGTCCCAAGCCCAGGCCTCCCCGCCTCGGCCTGACGCCCCGGGTGGCTGGGGCGGCCCACAGGGGTGCTGTGCGGCGGAGCCGGGTCCTGAGCGCCGCTCCTGGGGCGGAACCGGGCGTCTCGGTACAGCCCTTGGCCTCCTAGACTTTTCCTTGAGGAAATGAGACCCGCAGAGTGTTTCCCGGGCGAGCGGCAGGGGGGGGGAGGAGCTGGCTCCTTAGCGAGGCGCTGGGAGCAGCGGTCAGGAGGGCGCTGCGCAGAGAGAGCAGCTGCTAGTCCTTCTGCCGGGGTGCCTTGGTCTGGCTGCTCTGGTGTCGCTGAAAAGGAGCTGATGGGTCTGAAAGGTGAACGGTGAAGCTGCGAGGAGAGTTGAGTCAGGCCTGAAGTGTTTCCTGAATTATCCCCAGGGTTCAGGCTGGGAATGAGGGGCACTGTGCCAGCCTGCTGCCTCCCTGCCTGGCCAGGCTGTGGGCATTTCATGGGCAGCAGAGTTCAGCCCCGCAAGTCCACATCAAAACCATCCCTCTGTGACTCCTGTGGTGTGGCTTTTCTTTCTCACTGCTGCGTGCTCCCCACTGAACATGCGTGTGAGGGTCTGGTGCTCCTAGCCAGTTTGGGGGAATAAACAGCGAGTTGTTGGTCTGATTACAGTTTTATCTAATAGTTTTTTTCTTGATTCTTAGCGGTGGTACACAGCAGGTGGTGGCACTTGTCTGACCTTGCGTTGCTCTCTTGCTGCAATCCTTAAGTTTTGTATTAAACAAATTATTTTAGATCAGCCCCTGCTCTCTTCTCTCATGTCTGGGGCCCTTTGCTGCATAGCAGGGATCACATTCTGAGGAGGACACTGGCAGGGCCAAATGCTGACGTCCCCAGATAATGACTCCTGCATGGAAATGTCATGTCACCAATCCAGGTCATGGGCTTTGGCTGCTGGATGGGCCTGGCTGGTTGCTGTTCCTTGGCATTTCCTGAGTTCATCCCATGCAGCAAGCCTGGGAGTATCTGGTGCCTTCTTCCCTACCTGAACCTCAGTTTCTGTTCCACTCCAAGCTCCTAGAAACCACTGTATGAAGTGAGGTGGTTTCCTCCAGAGGGATCTTTCTTACCCCAGTCAAGACATGGAATGACCATCATCACATACTGAAGGACAGACCTGGGAGGTTTTTTTTCAGGTATTTTTCAGGAAAAAAGTATCAAGAAAAGAGAACAAATAATTGATGTAATAGAATCATAGAATGGTTTGGTTTGGAAGGGACCTTAAAGATCATCTAATTCCAAATCCCTTGCCCATGGGCAGGGACACCTCCCACTAGACAAGGTTGCTTAAAGTCCCATCCAACCCGGCCTTAAACACTTCCAGGGAGGGGGCATCCACAGCTCCTCTGGACAACCTGTTTCAGTGTCTTGCCATCCTCACAGTAAAGGATTTTTTCCTAATATCTAGTCTAAATGTATCCTCTTTTGGCTTAAAACCTTTTCCCCTTGTCCTATCACTAGAAACACTTGTAAAAAGTCCCTCTCCAGCTTTGCTGTGGCCCCTCATGTACTGAAAAGCTGCTATAAGGTCTCCCTAGAGCCTTCTCCAGGCTGAACAATCTGTCTCTCTCAGACTATGTTTTGAACTAATTGAGCAGTTATTGTTTCCTTGCTATGTATTGATATTTTATTCTTGTTCCACTCATCCCAAGTCTTCCACCTTTATTTTATTTCTGTGACAAAGGCTGAGAGGCCAGGCTGCCTAAAAGCAGACTGATCTGTGCTGACCACCTGTCAGTTCCCACGCTGGTGGCCAAGCTCTCCCCAGGTCTTATCAGATAATTCTGTACCTTTTCTCTCATTGTAAAGCTCAGTTGAGAATATTATCCCTTCAGTTTGCTGTCTCTTGGATTTGCAGAAAGGTGCTCTAGACCTCCTCACTGAAAGACTATAAGCTGGCCACTTTTAACCCAGGCTTGTTTCCCTACTCTAGTGTATGCTGCAGTACAGCTGGTCCTGTATCCCAGATGATGAGAAAGTACAAATTAGGGATGGGAGTGAGGGCAGTGACTTTCTAGCTTCACTGCTGGGGAAATACAGAGCTGTGCAGTGTGCTGCAGCTGTCGGCAAGTCCCCTTCAATGGCCTGGGGACTCTGGGAAGAAAAGGCAATATCTTTCAGTAGCGATGAATCTCCATGCCCTTCCACGTGGCCCCTGCGCTCTTTGGTCGCAGCCAGGTCAGCCCAGCCAGGGTGAGAGCAGAGCCAACCCTTTATTTCAGAGGTCCCCAGTGTGCTGTCTCCATGTCTCCCCTGCTGCAGCCCTGGATTTTCTGCCTAACCATGCTGCAGGCCATCACCTCATCCAGCACTGTGCTCTGGTGTCCTGAGAGTGGACATCAAGTCCCCTGTGAGCTGGAATGTGTGTGCCTTCAGTCCCCAGCCCGTGTGTGCATGGAGGAAGGTATCTGCTGTGGTGCAAAGCAAGGCAGTGCTGGATCCAGCTCTCCTGTGGCTTGGTCCAGTGCCCTGCTGCCCATAGAATCTGCCTCTCTCCCCACCACCTTGGGAACGGGAGTATGTTCTGGAGCTGCTCTACTTTTTTTGCACAGCAGTGCTCTGCTTAGTTAAAGGATAATTTTGGACAGCCCTGCACTTCTCATGCTTTCTCTGCTCAGAGTGGAGTTCAATGCCACAACCATTGAACTGAAACGTCTAGAACTGGTGCAAATGCCAGACACAAATGTAAGCCTGGGATGCAGGTGGAATTTGCTGACACATCCCCACAGTGGGTGGTTTCTCACTGATACTGATTCTTGACCGGAGTGACCGAGCAAAAACTTGGTGTTCTGATTAGGAGAGAAACCGGTCATCGTGTGGTACCTCTGTGTTCCCACCCAGAGGTGGTTCTGCAGGACAGTGCTGGAGCTCCCATGTAACTGCATGGCAAAGCAGCATGCCAGGCTGTTGGTCCCTGTGCCACTGGTATTTCTCTGGTGACTGAGCTGTCTCTCAACTGTCTTGTCCTCATGGACTTCTCATGGTCAGCAGGACCCTCTGCTTGAACTTGTGAGTGGCCTGGGGTGCTGCTTTGTCTTGGAGTGTGACTGCACTTGAGGCCACTTGCTTCCTGGAGCTGGTGTAGGTGTGGGTTGTTCCTGTGCTGTTGAAACACAAGAGTGTGTACTTAGCTACCAGGTGTAAGAGCAGCTTTAGGCACTCTCAGTCTGTTGGTTTCAGCTCAATACACACAATCTTGTTGAAAGCTTTTTAGTTGTTTTGAAGGGGTACAAACCTTATTTTGAAATGTATATTGGTTTTTACATGTGTTTATTTTGCGTTGTTAACTCACTTGTGCAAGCTTTAATCAAAAGCCACTGAGCTGCAAGTGAAGAACTTGGTGTGAACTCAGGTTTTGTTTAGAAAAAGCTGTTATCGTTTCTAGTCATAAAGAATGGAAATTGTACCCTGCAGTGACACAGAAAAAAATAGCAAATCACAGTTGTCTGATTTCCCCCTTGCTCTTGTGACTTTGGGCTGCGTGAGGCTGACAGCACATTCTCAGGTCAGCTTGCAGCTCATACATTTGCAAGCTCTTGTTATTTTGAGTGTGTCACCACAGCTGCGTTTAAAATAACCTCCCCGGCCAAACTCATGTGGTGGAGGGATGATGTGCACGCCCAGGCTCTTACAGTCTTGTCCATTCCCGATAGAAACGGGTCTGCGAGGAGCTGCTGTCAGAGCAGCAGATGCCACAGGGAGCCTCGGGCTGGACACAGGGACTCCCACTGATGCCTAGTGGGGTGCTGGCTGGGGTGTGGGGTGTGTGGTGGCCCCTGCGCACCTGGGATGTGACATTCATGAAGGCTGTGGCAGCACTCCAGCTGACGTCCTGAAGCATGTGAGCAGGCTGTGCGATAATAAAAGGTGCTGGGGAAATCATTGTGAGTGCAGCTGTACCGTCACTCCAACAGTGACAACTTTGGCCTCTATATTGTATGTCAATAAGTCCAAGCCAAAATCCATTAATTACTAGTAATGATGTTTGGGTTTGACTTCCAGCCTGGTGAGTTCACCCTGGGCTTTTCCCAGCTCATGTTTCTACAATAAAATTTCCAAGTGTAGTTTTATTGCTGTTGTGAGCAGCAGAGTGGACTCCTGCTTCTTTGCTGTAGGGTTGGGTTGGCAAAACTAGGGATTGCATCAAGCTGTGACCTTGCTTCACCCCAAAACTCTTGAGTTAAGTGTAAGGGGGAAACTTCGCTGCCTGGTGACCAGCAGAGATTTACCTTGGGGCAGTTGCTGTGGTTTGTGCCCAAAGCCACAGGGATGTGGCAGTTGCTGTCCTGTTGTGCCCACAGCCTGACACGAAGGTGCCTCTGTCTCTGCCAGTTCTCCTGGATGTTCAGCAGCTGCTTTTGCCAAGCTGTCCTTGCAGCAAAGGCAGCAGCTGGTTTGCAGGCAGGCAGAGGTGGCTGTGCTGGCACACAGGAGGTGTGACAGGAGTGTGGATGGGGTGAAGGACAGTGACAGATGGGGGAGAATGCTCCAAGTCTGGGTACATCCTGACCTATCCCATGTGGGGGTCTGTTCATACTTTCATCTTCCCTGCCCCTACCTCAGAGCTCCTGTGTCTCCATAGGGAAACAGAAGTGGTTACCAGCTGTCAGTGGCACAGTCCTCACCTGGAAGCTGTATGAAATGCCCTTCTGCTTCCTGCTGCAGCTGCTGCTTCCAGTGCTGTTCTGGCTCCACTGCAAAACCACTCTGGGGAGGGGCAAACTCCACTAGTTCTCACTGCCACTGTGGGGCTGGGGACCAGCCCTGGCCAAGCAGGCAGTGTTGGCTGAGGCCGAGCCATGGCCAGACCTCCACCCTGGCTGCTGTGGCTGTTGGTGGTACCCTGGTGCCTGTGCTGGTTACATCTGTGCTGCCATTGTCACTTACTCCAGAGCGGGGTCACACAGGGCTTCTGCTGGCATACTCACACCTGTGTCTAAGCTGGCTGGAGGATTCATGTCGCTTGTTACAGCTTCATTAGGCCAAGTCACTTTTATTTTTATAGCAGGATGATCCAGTGATGGCTGTAAAGCCGGGTGGAGACGAGGTGCAGAGGTGGCTTTCCCTGCGAGCTGGTGTTGCAAGGTCATTCACAGCCGGGTGAGAGTGCAGGCGCTGATACTGTCCTAACAGTCCCCTCTAGGCAGGAACCATGGGGAGACGTTAATTCACCTCCTGATATTTTTATTTCGCTTTTTCACATCTACGTTCGCGGCTGTGCTAGGGTCGCTACGTGGTTCGAGCTGGCGTGTGCCCTGGGTGCCTCTGGGGGTGCTGCGGGAGTACTCTTGAGCTGCCCTCGCCTTTTTACCCGGGGGAAACTTGAGCCGAGCAGGCGGTGGCATCTGAGCCGCAGCCTCTTCGCTCTGTGCTAATTGCTGTGAATGTCACAACACGGCCGGGTTTTGCTGCTGGGTGCGAATCGGGTAGTGATCAGATAGGGAGGTACTGTGCATGGAATTCCCGTCCCTTGGAGCTTGGAGCCCCTCTGGGCTGCAGCTCCCAGAGGCACAGCTGCCCCATCCTCACTGGGAGGGCTCTGCATGGCTGTATAAGCACTAACAAGCAGTGCAGCCATGGGCATGGAGTGGACCTGACTCCTTTCATACTTCCTTGCAGAGCATGGCAGGGCAATAGCTCTCCTTGAGGACATACAGCTCCTATAGGATCCTACGTGGAACGTTCTCACCACGTGTAGCCTCTGGTTGGAATGCTGCTGACCTGATGCATTTGAGAGACTGGGGTCTGATTCACAGGTTGGGTGTGTGAGCCTCTGTCATGGTCAGAGCAACCAATGGGTCTCCTGGCTACAGTTTAGCCACTGAAGCCAAGGCTTGATTTTCAGGTGAGAAAGGAGTGTGTATGTATAGTGCAAAAGAAACTAAGCGGGTGGTGGTTGGTGCTCTGCTTATGCTTATTTTTATACTTTTTTTGTTGTTTTTTTTAAACACACAAGTTTATGCAAACTGGAAGGTGGAAGAGCAAGCCAGCCAGCCAACCAGTCTGCCTGGGATACAAATTCCTATCATGGCTGTATACAGGGGCCCTCCAGGCATGTGTTAAAGCAAGACAAATACCTGGCACATAGTGTGTTTTCTCTTTC